CATTCCGCGTGGGCGTACGGAGGGACACGAGCACCTGGGCTTTAGTTCCCGATGAAGAAAATGGTATTGAAGAAATACAGCTTAGAAGGTTCTTGAGCTACAATTTGTATAAGATATTCTAAAAGACCTGTCCGGGGAAGACTTTCGTTATTGATTTTGGCCCAAAATTAACTGCCATTCTTGGATTTTCTACAGTTCGTGACTGGCCATGGGCTGCCCAAAAAAAAAAAAAAATTCCCCTCAGACTTTTTTTTCTCCTTCAGCTCAGAACTTTTATTTTTGTTCGCTTTCTAAACATGCTGATCTTCCCATTCTCCCCTCTTCTATTTCCCCAGATGATTTATTTCTTTATTTCCTGCTGTGCCTTTGTCAGTTTCTGAGGGAAGGGGGGGTTGAAGAGGGAGGGGCCTTTTTTCCGGAGCTGGACACACAGTAGTTTTTTTGCTAGTTTGGTAATTAAAAGTTGAGAAAAATCCCTTCAGCCCACAGCATCTCCCAGTCCCCTGATTAGCAGTCCCTGGGGGTCCTGGGTGCTTTCTGTGGCAGATACGTCTGGGTACATTTTTAATATTCCTGTATTGTTTGATTCCTTAATATGAAATAAACTGAATCAGCCATTTAGGTTTACCTTTCTGTGCTTAAAAAATAATGAAATACGACAGCTTATGGTTTTTCTCCTCTGGATGGCAGTAACTCCTGCTTAAACATTCGTGACCTGTGACTGCAATATCCTGCAGCAAGGGATTTCCTTTTGTTTATCAGTGTGCTATCCAAAAGAAACATTTAATTTCATTCTGTGTTTTTTTCAAATCTAAATTTGAAAGGTAAGTAAGCTTTCAAAGAAAGAATCTGTTTAATGTAAAGACGTAATTGCACAGGTCCAGAACCATGTACAGAACCAGAACCAGCGAGTAACACTTCTTTAGTAACAAATCTGGACAACTTACATGTAGGACTTCTGTCTCCCCCCCAGCCAGGAATCACTATTGCCTTGTGTTACTGCTGGTGCAAATGAGGCAGTTCAGAGCAGCAGCTTTCAAAGATCAGTGCCTGTATTTATACAAGTGAATCTGCACTTCCTGCTGATTCTGGACACCTGAGGTCCTTCAGAGCCAGAGTGAGCAGCCCAATTTCTGGGGTGCTGTAAGGGCAGTGCTCCCCAGCTCTTGGCTCAGCAGCAGCAGTAGCAGCAGATGGAACTTCTGTTTCCATATATATATATATATATTTTTTTTTTTTTTCCTATCAGACAGCACCTTACTGATTTTAGTTGTGCATTCAGTTTCTGGTCTGTGGACTGAGATGGCCAAAGGGCCTCTGGTTTTAGTAAGTGAGTGTTTTTCTACCAGGTGGTTAGTGCTATCAAGTCCTTTGAAAACCTTATCTGTTTTCATGTGGAGAAATGTCTCCTAGAATTAAGAAAAACATTTCTGCCCACATATTTTTCAGTAGAAAGATCCAAATTTGGCATGTTTACATTAATATTTCCAAAATCAAGACATTGTTTATATTTTCCCTTCAAATTACTAATGCTCAGGAAAACTAACTTACCTTAGACACCCCCATTTCTACAGCTATTGTCCCAACCTTCAACAGCCCTGTAAGCTGCTGCCCATTTGCTTGTCCTTCCTACATCTGAATGAGGGAAGTAAAACAGTCCTGTGGTACATGAACCAATCCCATAAGAGTTCCTACCCAAGCACTGGAAGCCCGCTGTGATGACAGGAACACGAGCACTGGAAATGAAGTGCTTCCGGAAGACATCTTGTCTTCCAAGTTTCTTTAACACACAGGGGAACAAACTTTGTTACTGTCCTTCTGGAAAAAGAGTAGCACCTACCTGGTGACATGAATCCAGCTCCACAGTGCAGAGGGAAATGGAGTCACAGACATACCATGTTTGGGCAGCTTTGTTCAGGTAATTTTCTTGAGGAGTGTAGCAGAGATGCTCATAAAGCTTTCAAGCTTGAAGGTATCAGTAGGAGATTAACTTCAAATTACTCCAAGCTCTTACACCTGGCTCTTTGTTTTAGAATGTAAGGAAACCTGAAAAATAACAAAGTGGGTGCGGCTAGAAAGGTGATTTTATGGTTTGCTGCAAAGCTGAATTTTCAGCCTTTCAAAAGATGAGCAAAAGTAGATAAATTGTGTTATTCTGGTGTTACTGCAGGTCCACACCTTTAAGATCCCAGATTTGCTGAAAAATTTTCTCTGAAGACTTCATTAAGTCTGGCCTTGACACCAATTTGTCAGCAAAAGATAAAGCATGTTGAGAAGCCATCCCAAGAGCTTCCTCCTTAGCACATTTGTGAAGGCCTGATGCTGCTCATACTGACTTCTGAGCTCAGGGGTAAAAGAAATAGCAAAAAGAGGGACAGCTCTCACCCATGGAACAAGGAGAGGGGAAGTGAGTGACTGGTGCCATGTTTTCTGTCCTGTGAAACACTGCTCTCTCCCACTGCAGTGCCTGAGTTTGCCTCTGTTCACCATGGTAGTAGGTAAAGGAAGGACAGGCATTGTAAAAAAAAATTAAAATGGATTAAATAGTCAGCTGCAGATTCATTTTCACTGTATAATTTTCTAAGTATAAGCTTTGTCCAGGGTGTGGGAGGCATGCTTCTGCCACGCAACAATGACCTACCAAATACCTCTCTCAGCCCTGTGAGCAATTTGATCAGCTTTCTGCATGCTTTCTTTCTGAAAAGGATGTAATTCATACCCTCCCCCCTTTCCCTTAGCTCCATAAAATATGTGTGCATTTCCTAGATGGTGATGTGTACACATGGCATAGTAGAAATACAGACAAAACACATGCAGCACTGCATATGTTTGAAAAACCTGTATTCTTCATTTCCCTGATGTATCAAAATGGAGTCTGATGGAAAACCAAGATGCTTTCCTGTGTGGTGCTGGAGGCCACTGTGACAGCTGAGGTCAGGAGAAGAGAAGGCATGCAAGAACATTTCTGGCTGAGTTCCAGAATACAGATATTTCAAGTTTCTTGTCAGGACAGAAGAGCACTGTGCACTTGTATTTCTAGCTGTTGGCACTATACCCAGCTAGTCAGAAGGATTGGTTATAGCTAGAGCTCAGTTTGAAAGGAGATTTCAAACAGATTAAAAATTCCTATTCATTACAAGCTTCTAAATTAAGTGAAACTCACTGAAAGATAGGTTTCTTTCTGAATCCTGAATAATTCTTTACATTGTGATCAGGGAATGAGGTTATTTTGGACTCTCAGTTTAGAAACACATGTATGGGATTTATGCTAGCACTCATAATGCCCAGAATTACAGAACTGTCAACAGTTTGTCAAGAAAAACACTCACTCTGGACTTTTTAAAAAGAAAAACAATTTAAAAATCTGTTTGGGACAGCATCCCTGTCTCTCAGACTTGAAACATCTTGCAACTGTAGGAGCACAAAAGTAAATGCAAGATGACCTGCACTGTGTGCAAGGCATATGAAGTTGTTCTGAAATGCGTCCTTCTATTTCCCCAAACCAATTTGCACGTGCAACCTTTGAGCAGGGCTTTCTTGCTTTCTCATGCAAATGCAGTAGCAGGAGTGCACTGTACACACAGCCCTGGCAATGAGGGCAGGGCTGCTCTTTCGGGTCCCTTCTAGAACTTGCTTTCTGTACGTGCTGCATGAGCTCCTGCTGTGGTACATGAACGGACAGCACAAATAAACTCCAGCATAGTTACCACTACTTGCAGGTTTGATTTACCTGAGCAAGGTCTCCTTGGCTTGTCTTTCCATGTAGCATCACCTCCTGCTTCAACCTGCGGGAAACCAAAGGGAGAAAGTTTTCTGTGTGGGTTATACACTTTTTTTCAAAAGAACCTTTGTATAAAACCCCCTATGCTTTCTGTGTTGCTGGAGTTGCCTGAGGCAGCTCTGTCATTGTTGATAATACATTAAGCACAATGCATCAGCATGCCAGAGAAAAAGATTTCCCAGGATCAGCTATGCCCTTTGTAGAGCACTAAGCAAGAATGACTAAGGTATAAAAGGGCATACTGTGGTGAAGCTTTTATGTGAGTGGGGACTGCAGGGGCAGAGAAGACATAAATGCCTTCTGCAAGCCATGAAGAAATTAGCAAGAAGTATAAATGGGAAATCAAAGACAAGTAGAACAGTCACACATCCAAAAAATCACCTGGACAACAGAGCTGAGTGATCCAGAAGCAAGAATCCTATATTCATGTGATGGCACAACAGGCTGCAGAGATGGAGTTAGTTTGGCATCCATGGGCTCCTTCCTGCTGACACTGCTGAATCAGAAGAGTTTACTGCAGAACAATCTGAGCAATATCTTGAATCTTCAACCCCAGTTTTGCATAATTAAACCACAGTGGTTCAGTGGTCAGGGCTGTAAGTGAAAAGAAAGGATAGAGTCAGTTTACAGGAAGCAGATGTCCTGTGACAGATGACCAAGTTATCTTTAAGCTGATACATAAACTGGCTCCTTTGGAAATCAGCAGAATGCAATACCCAGCTGCTATAGCCTCCCTGAGTGTAATGTGTGCATCTGCACTTTCTACTTGATTTCCTCTGCCCTGTCCCCTGCTGTACTCTGTGAACCTTCCTAAGGTTACAAAGGACCTTCCAAGTTACAAAATTCTCCCTAATAAAGTTGATACCATAGTGGTACTTTTTGATGAAGCTATTAGTAAAGCCAAATATTCCACAGTTCTTGTGTGTTCCAGCCAACCCTTCACAACTGAGACAGATGTATTTGATAAGACAAAAAACCAAACAACTCCCCCTTCCCTGCCCCCTCCCCCCCCCAAAAAAGAAAAAAAAAAAGTCAGGCCTATAATTATTCTACTAGCAGCAGACTGGTGATTCAGCAGACCAAAGAGATGAGGATACAAAACTTTGTGTGGGCAAATATGCCAGGAGTCTTTGACGTTATAAACCTTGCAATGCCAGTTGTTAAAATCTATTAAACAGTCGATTTTGGAAGGCTGACTAGAATGCCTTTGTAGAACTTCTTGCACATGGGAAAGCTTCACTTATTTGAGGATAATCAGCACATCACCTTCTCCTTTTCACATTGTTTATGTTTTTACAAAGCAGCTTATCCCAGTATCATTCCAGTCAAGTTTTAAAAGCATGTAATTGCTCCTATCTCCACTACAGCAATATCCGCTCAATGATCCCTCCACCTCAGAGGGTTGCATGTAACAGGGTTTTTCGAGTTGCACCCCAGTGGCCAAGGCTTTGAAAAACCATTTGAAAGGCCAGAAAGTGCCAAGGTATACAGAGAATGTCAAGGCTGGCTAAGGGGAGTGCCACCCTTTTGCTTCAGTAATCACTCAGTTTAAGGGTGTAGGGGCTGCTAGGGCAACCCAGGGCCATCCATCAAATCCTTTCTGAAAGGTATCTGAGAGCTAATCTGCATTTTACACAGCAGCTGCCAAAAGGAGCAGTGATGCTAAATCACAAATCAGCAAGCCTCCAATGTATCTAGCAAACACTTTTCTTAGATTTTTCTCCAAGATTAAAGGCCTTCCTTTGGTCAGCTTTCTTGACAATACAGAGAAAAGAATGTAATTTCTGTTAAAGAAATACTCCTTTTTGACTGATGGAAGCTGTTTGCTGCATAAGGAATTCAAGAAAATTACATTATTTGCTTAATAATAATTAACATGGGAGTTTGTATAAAAAATAAGGAATTGCATTTGATTTCATATTCTTACATAGCATTAATCAAAATTATCTAGTGGCTAAAGAAAATCATCCTCCTCCTCCCTGAATGTGGTCCCCTACAGAAAGGTTGGGAAGAGAAAATTGCAGTTGAACATTATGCCAGAGACTTGTCCCCAGTTCAGTTCTGATGGCCTTTTTTCCTCTGTTTCTGCCAGAGTGAGATGGTTCACTGCAGGGAGCACCTGGTAGGCCTTCAAAGGAGTTGCAGGGCTGGAGAAGAGCAGCTCAGAGCTCTCTGCCTTGCTCCCATCACCCCAACAGCCACAGAGGGAAAACACTCCTGACACGGCATTTCCTTTGCTGCGTGCTCGGCCTCTGTGTGATGGGCAGGAATAGCAGAAGGTGACTCTGGTGATTTCAAGCTTTAATACCTAGCTCTGTGGGCCCAGCTTCCAACAGGTGAGTGAAATGAAGGAAGAATGGGGCTTTTTTCATATTGATAAATCCAGCTGAATTGTGAGCATTCCTGAAAGTGTGCAAGGCTCTGATAAGAGCTTTATCAAGCATGTATTACATCAACTGGCTGCCACCCTGGCCCCCTGATCAGCTGCTTTTCCTAGCAACAAGACCCAGACAATAAGCTCACAGCTATTGAGGGAGCACTTCAGTGTCAGGGGAGGTGCTGTTACAGTAATTCTGATTGAGACCAGGTGTAAAGAAGGACAACCACACCCAGGTTTATACACACAAAGATCTTGGGAGAACTGAGCATCTTTTAAAGATCCCCTTCAGCTCAAACTTCAGTTCTGCCCATCTGAGAGCCCCTCCATCTTCATAAGCAGCTCATTGGGGAGTCAAAAGAAATAACTGTTAATAATTAAACACCAACTTGTGAGAAATGTAATTTCCAGATGTGTTTTTAATGCAACATGTAATTAACAACATTACCAAGGTTTATTAGGCTCTATAAGGACTTTGCAGAAAAGGTTTAGTGGGAATGTAGAGGACAGAACTCTTGATCTAGAAAAGAAAAAACCGTAGCCCACGAATATAATTTCTTCTGTTGCAATGAGACTGAGTTTGCAATTTCTGGGATTAAACTGGAACAGACTTTGAGACTCTGGCTCTCAAAGATCTAAGAATTCTGAGAGGCTTCAAGCATTCAGATTTTCATCACAGGCAATATTAAAATCCTGCCTAAAAATATTCTTTGTCTTGTACTCACACGAATAAGGACTAAGTCCACTTAGGAAATACAATATCTTGATTTAAAGGGAATTAATTTTGACCATCAAAAGTGATAGAAGAATATGTCTCACATTGAAAATAAAAGCCAGTCTGACCATGGAACAGTGATATTTCCTGGTGTCCATATCTGTGCACCTCCTCTGAAAGAGGTATGATGGCTTTTCCTGAAGCTATCCTGGGATAATTGTGTCTTTGTCCTTTATAAATTCACATGTATTTTTATAAGCAAAGCAAGAGTCCCAATGGTGCCATTAGAAATAATCCTCTAAGAGATTTCTAAAGATATGTCTTGTTTAACTTCAACAGAGAGTTAACTAAACACTCTACAGAAATTTTCTTTTTCCTTCGAACCAACAATAGATCCCTGTAAGTGTCAAAGTCAGTCATACACAATCAAATAAATGTGCTGGCATAAAAGTACTCATGCTCTGACTCCTATAAAAAGTAAATAAATGGTGCCAATAAAGACATGCCAACATGTGAGAATAAACCTTTTGTTTTAAAGCACATGTAACCAAAGAACGTAGTACAAGCTTTTAAATTCATTAGACTCAGGTCTTGGCTGTTTGGGAGTCTCTCTCAGTGAGTGGATCACCAGAAGACTATTTGGTGAGTTTTCATGCACAGATACCACAAAATAGCAAAAAAGCTTCATTTCCTTGGAAGTGCATTCTTATTGAGTTATCACAAGAAGAGACTAGAAGTAAATTTGTCTTAGTTTCTCATTTCCTTGCAACACTACCCAGTGCAGCTAGCACCAGGGAAGATTTGCTTTTCCAAGTTCAAATGCACAGTATCAGCATCTAATGGAATTGTGCTTGCCAGGAATGAACTTACACATCCCATGTAAGAAAAATCACTTGTATCAAGGTATCAGAAAAAGGCTGCACACCATGCAATACCTGGATGGACTTGCCAAATCATCCAAACGAGGATTATTAATGGAAAAAAGGTGAATGTAGTCCTTTTAGTAGAGACTTCATTACCTCGCAAACTAAGCAACAGTTGTTTCAGAAAATCAAACAAGCCCCATAGCTGATTGCTCTAATTTTTTGCCATCTGCATCACTTTAAAATAGTCACATAGAAATGACATATTTGAAAAGTTGTGGTATTTTTTAACAGAAAAATTTAATTCTCATTCAGTGTTCTGTGAACAAAAACTTCAACACTTCTAAGAAATTAAAAAAGAAAGTGGTGAGCACATAAAGTTCTTGCTACATCTGTTAGGAAGCAGAAAAATCACAGAACCCTAGAAATGGGGGGAGTGGAACAAGAAAAGTGGATAAAAGATCTGTATCCCAAGGACAGTTATATGATGGCTATGAGTCACAAGAACTCCCAAAAAACCTCAGAGTGCTTTATAATGACATAATAAGTCAAGGCTGGGCTGTACCTTTCTAGTAAAGTATTTCAGAAAGCTCCACTGAACTTTTTCCTCCTGAAATACTTTATTTTCAGGGCCCCTAGGCAAAGAGAATGTTCTAAGCTAATATATTTCTCTGCCACTAAGACAGGGTGTAAGACATGTTGTTCAGCCTGCAGTGCCTTAAGAGTATCTTGTATCCAGCTGATATAAAGCAACTCTTATTTCTCAGAGGACAGAACCCCATGGCTCAGTTGTGAGAGTTGAGATTAAAAGATTTACAGTACATAAAATCATTATAATACTGTCTTACCTGGAGTGTGTGTCTTCCTCCATGGCTTCAGTGATAGGATTTCTGTCTCTGGTATTAATTTCTACTGGTTGGAGCCATGAACATTTCTTGTTGAGCTATTTGGCAAAGACAGATCTTAGATATTTTAGAAAACAGTAAAATGTGGTTGCATCATAAGGGATATGCTGATTTATTAATCTAAATTTTGAAGGATGTCTGTGTCTAATAGTCTCTTATTTTAACATGTGGAGCTATAAAATAATTTACTGGGGCTCTGGAGACTTTATTTTCTACCTGGGTATTCTTTGCAGTGCTCAGATCTGACCACCATGTATTGTTATATGTTTATCCACCTTGTGAACTTCCCCAAAATAATCTAACGCAGTTGGCTTTGACCTTTTTCAATTTGCAAACCTCTCAATGTTTCCTAGTAAGATTTTGAACCCTCTCTGCACCCTGAATTTGAGGTAATAGCATTGATTTCCTTTGTTACTTTGGAGGGATTGCCTGGAAATGGTCCCTTGCAGTGGTTACAGGCCAGAGGTTCAAAACTATGTGTAATTTTCTGGCCAAAGTCACAACTTGGCAGAATTCTGTTGATTTCAAAGGAAAAATATTTTGATAGCAGCAGTTAGAATAATGGCTAGTTTACTGTACATTAGCTGAGGAACTTCCCTTGTCTTTAGTCCTTCTCTTAGATTTCGCTGTGACTGAGCTCCACTTCAATGTAATTGTATCTCCTTTGTACTTACTTACGACTCAGACTAGAGCACATTGAAGAGCCCAAGAGGAACCTTAAAAAAAATTACATAGGAAATCTCATCAGAAAATTCCTACAATTTTATTTTATGCTTAGTGTCAGATGTATCCTAGATATCTATTTTTTAAAGGTGGCTCTTCAGTCTGGTATTATCTTTCACAGTCTAACACATGCACAACTGATAGAAATTGCACAGTTAGTAACATAAAATTTTCTTGACTTCTCTGATCAAGTAGCTCTACTGTTAAAGTTTTGAGTGGGGTATTTTTGAATAGAGTTATGCCGATTTATACCATATGCCCAATTTTCTGAATATGCTTCAGGCTCTTCAGGAGTGAGTGCAAAGGAAATAATGTTCCTGTTTCTTATGAAAAAGAAAAGCACAAATAGTTTGGTAGATATTAAGAAAAGTAACAATTAGGTCTGAAATGTTTATAACTAGATATCTTTTCGGAAGATAGTTAGAAGTATTTACATTTAAAAGACAAGAAATTCTCTGAAAAAATTAGAGAAAAATGGAAAATTGTCTTTCTTGCTGTTGCTGTGTAGCTCACTTTGCAGCTCCATCACATGACAACGAATAAGTAAAGAAAACTATTATTATGCAAACTGCTCCAGGACAAAAGGGTATTACATATCTCATACAAAAGGGGGTTTCTTTAAAAAGCACAGCACATTCAGTGTTTAGGGTTTGCAGTTGAAATTCATGGCCTTGCTTGCCAATATTATCATGCAGCTGGGTATTATGCTATTGCTTTACTCTGAGGGGAGAAAAAAATCACAATAAACATTTTCAAATGGGCACCTGTTAAACATTTGTATTCTCTTACGTGACAATATCAGTTTTAATGATTTTTAGCTTTTCTTCTCTAGTGAAAAGGTCACCATAAAGACTACCACAGAGACTATGATTGCAAACAGAAAATGTCAAAAAGGTGCTTCTTTTGACTTAAAAGAATTATCACTGAAAAAGAGTAGTAGGCATTATTTTAGTGTTGAGAACTGATGGGATTAATAATAGTTTTTCTCTTATTTAACAGCTATGAGATAGAAGTCTATCTTTCTGTAGAGAAGGGTGCTGACAGAAACTCTTGTATTTGTTCTGTGAAACAAGTACAAGTCAAACAGTTGTAGAGGAACATCTTAAACTGTTTTTCATTTGCACATGTCATATTTTTTCTCTGGCTCTTAGATACATCCATCTCTGGGTGTGTTTTCAAGTTCTTATTTCTCATTTTGTTTTCTGTTTTTCCCTGAGTTGCCTGAGCATTGTCATGATAAACTGCTAAAAGATATGCACTTTCAGTGATGTTATGTACTAAAATACAAAGGAGTGGCACAAAATGACCTGTTTTGTGGCGTAGAAAAGAAAAGAAGCTATGAAATTGTTGCTTGGCAGGAGTTAGTACAGAAGCCACTCTGAGACACTGAGCACACTATGGCATCCAAATACTAAATTCATACTAGCCCTGGGTGTGCAACAGAGTTAGCAAAACAGGAGAGGTCTTTGAAAAGCTCTATAGCAGTCAAAATACAATTTGAACATACCTTCATTTGCCTTTCATTAATCAAAAGTATGATCAGATCAACAGGTGCCACAAAATCCTTGCCTCAATCTCATTTGCTTATAAATAACCATTTTTCAGGGTGCTTACAGTCTTATTCTAAATATTTAGTTATTTTGTCTTTTTAGGTAGCAGGTATCTTAGGAAAAGTAGTGGTGACAGAAATCTAATCCCAAATTAACACCAAATGGTGTAATTAGATGTGTGCCATAGCACTGAGATAGATGTTATTTGCAGTTTTGTTCCTAATCTGTGTATAAAGAACCAGTTATTGAAATTTACTACACAAAATTAAGCATTTTGATATTCTCTCTTCTATTTTCTCTACTTCTGATTACTAAAAATACAGTTCCAAACTTATGTGTCAAACAGACATCAAGAACAGATTTGTGCATTTTGCAGTCATCAGTGTGCATGGTACTTATGCTCTCTACATCACTGCACCCTGCTAAACTGAGCTTCCAGCTTTCAGGAGCTAGAGGGGATCAGCAATACAGACCTGTACTTCTCAGAATACTCTGTTCAGCACCAGACCAAAATGCCATAGCCCTTTTAAAAGAGTCAAACAGGTTATCCCTGTTTTGTCAAAGGGAAGATTTGGTCCCAGATGCTTGAAGAAATTCAAGGTGCAAGGCAGATCTTTGCAGTGCCATAGCTGCTGTACCACTATGTGGAAAGTCTGCACTGCTCCAATGATTCTTATGACTGAAAACTTTTCTTTGTTTGTAAGACTGCTAGAAGATGAGCCATCCTGACAGTTTTGTTTATTGGCTTTAGTGGAATGTAAAAACTACATATCTCTCCATAATGGCGGAGACTCCTCCTGGGGAAATACTGGTTTGCCAAGATTTGTGTTACTTTCACTGTGCCATTCATAGGATTACGAGAAGAGGAATTTTGTCCAAGAGGTGAACTGGTTTGGAAGCTATGTTTTCATTCAGAGGGGAGTTCTGCTGACACACTGAAATCTCTTTTCTTTCTCTGAACAAAAAGTCTGAAACTTCAAAATTTAAAATAACAAATGTATCCTAAACTTTTGAGTAAAAGTAAGCAAAAGGAGTAATTTGATTGTTCAAATGATAAAACACTTTTGTGAACAGCGAAGATGTCTAATCTGTGGTGCCCTGATACAATTTGTAGCTGTAACAGTCTTACAAAATTAACTTAAAGCAGTAACATGGGAAAGTCAGGCTTGACTTTTTAGTGGTGGCACTCAGACAAGTGGTAACACTGACCACTTTAAACAAATGGCACTTTCAGCAGCAAAGAAAATGTCTACAGGAGCAGAATCACCTATCTTCACTTCATGAGTTACTGAGACATCTCCAAAATGTTTACCAATCGCTTTCAGGATTAATATCTTGGAGGTGATACAACATCTTCCTCCTCATGCTCAATAGTCACAGTTCACTTTACTCGATTATTGTCCCATCCACATGTATGAAGGAGAAGGAACAGATCTGCTGGGCTTCCTCTGCCCTGTGCACCACGTTGTGTGGGACAGGCTTTGGAACATGTGACATTGGGAATGCTGTGTAGAACATCCCATGAGACTGGCAGGATAGTGCCCCTATACAACCTTGTATAAATCTTGTATAAATACTAGTTTGTTCACGCTTCCATTAAGTAAGATTTGGTTTTTTCTACATAGAAACATTTCAGTAGTATTTTTTTTTTTTTTTAATTCTTGGCTTTTCTGGAATAATCAGAACAACAATACAAGCTTAAGAGAATGCATTAAATGAGACATAGTAATTGCTGGCTGTGATTAATTAGTGATTGTAAGCCACCCACATACATAGCTTCAATGCTAGTAATTTACTTGTATGAATTCAATAGAAGCAGACAGATTTCAAAATACCTCAATCACTATAAGTTTAATTGACAATTTGTCTGTTGTAACTGCTCCAAATAACTTAACATTTCTTTAATTCGTAACAGACAAAGTAGGATCCTGTTACCTAGATTGATAAGGAGCCTGAAGCCTACCCAAAGACCTTTAGTCAACACTGCAAATAGCCTTCCTTGCAACGTTTTGCTTTCAGCCTCTCAAAAGAATTTCTCTAATTTACTTGTCCATAGCAAAGGAGAGGATTTATTGCTTTGTTTTCAAGCGTTCTTCAGTTCCAATGACAGGAAGCCATTCAAGGCCTATGTCAGAGTCTTGACCACTTGGGGAACTGTAATGTGATGATTTCCTAGGGAATTCAGTCACATGGGCTTAATGGCATTTGGGGTTGTGGCTATCTCTGGTAGTTACTCAGGAGTGAGCTTCTCACGCTACTCTGGAAGACTTCTGCCTAATGCATCCTCATGCTCTTGATGCTCCCCTCAGATCTGTCAGACATATTTTTGCTTCAAAATACAATTCAAAAAATTCTTCAAATCTTCTAGGCCATGTTATTAAAAATTCTTGCGTATTGTCTGTTAATTGTCCTAGTTCTGCTAACGGGTGAGGGTCAATTCTTACAAAACAGTATTTCCAATTACAGTATCACAATTTAACACTGACCACAGGTATTAAACCAGGGCACACGAGTGAACATAGTTTATCCTTTGCTTAAACCATCAGTATGGCTTTTGAACATGGTTTTAAAATAGCATTATCTAAAAAAACCCAATGTTATTAATGACTTCTTACAAGACCTTTAGAGGTTCTCCCTTTTCCTGTTCATAAATCCTAATCTTTGCATTAAATTTTTTCTCAGACAGGAAACAGTAACAATTGATTTACATGGACAAAATCAGCTTTTCTCAGTTTTCAGTCCAGCTTCCTCTGAGATCTCATTGACCTCTAAAGTTCAACTTCTTCCAAGAAAGTTTTCCTTGGGATTAATAGCCTTCAGCATCAAATCATTGAGTGCCATAGACATAGCAGTGCTATAAGTAAAGCTTCAGCCTTTCCACATAAACTCTTATTTTCAGAAGTTTATAGTTTGGCTAAAAAAATAAAGTTTTATGCTGAAACTTAGTTTAAAAAGCTCAGTCTGGAAGTGATTTCAGTTTCTGAGAAATCTGCACAACTCTGTGGTTGTTTTCAGATTAAAATTCTGACCAAGACTATGACTTGCTGTCTACATCCCATTGGTGCCTGATTTTTTAAAAGTACAGATCCACTCCTGAAAAATTATAGAAAGACAAGCTAAAAAGGTGTTTTAAAAATGGTTATCCCATATGTTAAAGATTTTCAAATTGGATCTAGTCCCTGCTTCTCTGGAAGACAGTCTAATCACTTGAGCACCACAGTATTTTTCAGAGGATTTCAGGAGGCTGAGGTGTGAGCCCAACTGCTCTGCAGTGATGGAGGGCTCTCAAGGTTTCTCTGAGGGCCTGCATGCAGAGTAATGGAGGAGCCTGCTGGTCCTGCAGCAGTTGGAAATGCTGATGGAGTGGGGGATGAAAGCCTTGTAGAAAGGAGGCTCAAGAAAATCTGAATTGGCAAGTTTGGGGAAACTGGTGCCTCCTGCCTCTTCAGGAGCCATGGGAGTGCTCTGGTGGCTGGGGCTGAGTGCCAGGAGGGACAGGTGAGGGAGAGAAGGAATCAGGCACCTCTCCAGCATCCTGAAACAAAATCCTCGCTATAATTAGAGATGAAACCAACAGAACTTACTTATATGCTGGTCCTCACAAATGCCTTCAGAAGGGATTTGGAGGCACCATCTGCAGGGAAGGATGACAGAGAGATGCCATGAAATTTCGTTTCCTTTGTAGATAATTCCTGTAAGGGATGACTTGGTCTTGAGTCAGTGCTGCTGGGGAATACAAACACAACACACCATGCAAATATGTTCAAGGCCACAGGCTGCAAATGTAATTGCTTCAAAGCAAAATCTTTTCATCTGAGATGATGACCCAGTGAAATGCACTGCTTCTTGTGACCACTCATTCTTTCCACAACAGAAATTTGAACAAGCCAGAGGCAGTATTCTGCCCCCAACTTCCCCCAAACTGGTCACCAAAACTAAAAATATCCCATCAGTCTTTCCACATATGTACAGCACAATTCCTTATAACTGTGTCCAGCAGCAGGAAGACTATTTCATTTAATCAATATAAATATTATTGTAAAAACTTGTCATGGGAAGGAAAAGACCAAGGCACCCTCTAGATTATCCCCTTGTTTCAGACATTGCTCCTAGAATCCAGACAGGTCACCCATTCATCTCATGTTTTCAAATGGAAAGATATTTCTGCCCAACAACAGCAAGGTAACATCCTCTGAAAAATGAGGCACCAGTAACCATACAGAATTGACAGTGCAGCATCTGAGTAGGAAATACCAACCTTCAGATCTTTGGGAGTGCTCCATTTGAAGCTAATCCAGAAATCTTTTTCTTTGGCAACAGCTCATTATAACTAGGCAAATTCAGTCCAAACTCTGAAACTTCTTTTGAAGGCATAATGGCAGGGGAACCTCACAGACAGGATTAGAAGGAAGATAAGGAGGTGGCTTTACAGATGTCTGAAGGAGCACTTTCGAAATGTAAGGAATGCATGGGATAAAGCTTCACACTGAGTGACTGAAAATCTAAGAAGTCAATGAAGGAGGCTGGCATCATGGGCTAATCAGTGAAAGAAGTGATTTCTTGATCCTGCATGAGAGATGATAGGTAGGATGAGGTGCAGGCTTTGAAGGTGAAGACAAGCTGCTTATATCTGATAGAAAAAGGGTGTTACATTTGACAGCCAAAGTGATGGGCTAGGCAAATGATCTCTGCAGTGCTACAATGTACAGAAGCATGCTACAAAATTGTATTTTTCAAAAGCAGAGAAATGGCTTTTGAAATCCTCATAAGAGCTTGGTAATTACATACATATATATTAATTCTTACACAGTAATAATCTCTAAGTTCTATAACTCACTTCCATAAGACAATTATTTTTAATGGTTGTTTTAAACTTAAACTAAGCATGTTGCATGGGAAGGTGGGAATTTTTTTGGATATTTCTAATAACATTGTTTTGTGCCAGCATTTTCATTGTAGCATTCCTTTAAAATTTCTATTTTATAAGAGAAAAAAATGACTTGCTAACAAATCCGTTTTTACATACAACTCTTTTTGATTTTGACTAAATCTTTTCATTTAAACATAGCACCTGAGGTCATTCAATGCTCATATCCATGCCAATTACATAATGTCTTAGCTGGTGGTCTCAGTTAATTCCTCTCTGGGCTTTGGTGGCTGAGGAGAGGTTGTCCATTACAACTTAGAGATGACTCTGGAAACTCAGTATGCCAGACAACACAGACATCAAGTTGCTAAATGCACCAAACCTCTGAGACATATAGATTTAACAGGACTTCTCCACTTTGTTTGGCAGTATTACATTAGAGTGGTTCTTTCCATAATACATACTAAATTAATTTTATTCCCTGTTGTAGCATATCCTTCATTTCCCCAATGCAGAGACGGGTGCATACACATTTTTCCAGGGCAAGGCTTTTGCTATTAATAGACAACTTGGCTCCACACACTGAGATGAACGAACAAGGTTTGGAGTGCCTAATTTAAGGGACCATATGTCAGAAGCTATAGTATCCTGTTAGATTGGAATAAAACAAAGAGTGAAAAGAAAAATAGCTTCCTACCATTAGCTGGCCTCAGACTGAAATTTTTGAAAATGTTTATTTAAGTGGGCTTAGAACTATTTACTTATTCTGTGCATCATATGAAGTTATGCATATTTCTTCATGGGGATACTGCCTCAGAAAAAGAACTTCTGAGCATTACCACAAGACAAAAATAACACAGTGATCTTGATTTTTTTTTCCTGGAACCGCCTTCAAAGTGTGGCCAGCTTCACATTTTTTTGCTTTGACTTTCCAGCTTGTAAAAACTGGAATACAGTTGTTTACTGTTTATTTAGTGTCCTGTGATTGTAAGATATTGCAATTTTTCCTCTGCTAATGTAAAATAGACTGGTGGGTGAATGTCCTTTTTTTTAAAGCAAATTATATTAATTACTACTATTGCTTAACCAGCCCATCTCAACTGCACAGTTCAAAGAAATGTGCTCTTTCAGACTCTTAGGGTTGTTATATAATCAGCATTCCTCACAAATATTTGAATGATTAGAGCTAGCAATCATATTTTCCTGGCAAGTTGTCCACTTTTAGGTGCAAACAGACTCAGAACTAGAAAATGTATAAATCAGCATTTTCATTTACTTCCTCCAGCTCATCCCATACATTCCTACTGGGTTTTTTCCTTCTCTGCTTAGTCTTTCTCTAAATATCTCTTGAAAAGTAACGTTTCCAGATAATTTCATTCAAGTAAGGACAGGGTGAGACTGTGACCAGCTGACAGGCATACCTGTTGCACTTCTATTTTTAGGATGTGCCATTCCATACTTCCCGTCAAGTTCCAACTTCCATTCCCTTTATGATCCAAATTGGCAGTCACAGGTTTGTGTTGGTATGAAAAACAGAAAAGGAAGACATTTCTTAGCTAACATAACTCACAATTTAATTGTTTTCTTCTTAGACTGCTTGTGACCAAAAGCAGCAGGATAAAATATTTACTGTATTTATGAAAGGAAAAAATGTTTGGAGAGAAAAATTATTTGGACTGAGGAGGAATTTTGTGCACATATTTTAACCAATGATTATTTGGCTGGCTTATGAATCTGTAATGCTGAATATTGCCTGCATTCAGATACTCAAAAAGCAGAAATTAATAAAACCTGACAAATAAAAGCCACACGCAGGGAGAACAATATCATTACAATAACTTACTCACATTTGCAAATACTACAGGCACTCCTCACCTTTCTTATTGTCCTAATTTAGTTGGCAATACAGAGTCAAAGGTGATGTCCGGACTTAAGAGCCCAACAGCTCTGGGAATAGGGAAAAATCTGATTGTAATCAACAGCAAAAGTTATGCAATACAAAGGGCTGTGATGTAGCACACTGCCCTAGAGAAAACATTCCACTGCCCCAATTCCAAAAACCCTTTGGTGCTTTGTGCCTGTGGGAGGTGTCCATGAGGACCAAACCCATGTCTGTGGGAACCCATCTCTAAGGGGACGAAGAAAATGGGAAAGGCAACCTTTGATTGCAATTTGAACATCTCAGTCCTGCTGTATTTCAATGGACTGCATCATCCTATTAGCTGGGAATTCCTGGTCATTTGGCTGTTTGGCAGCTCACCAAAAGTTAGATCCACTCTGTATTCCAAAGCAGAGCTCAGGGCCAGAAGTCTGACACTTCCCAGGCATATATGAGTAGGTTCACCTGCATCTGTGCCATGGTTCCTGTACATTTGGGCCATGCTGCCCTTGGGCTTTGCAAAAGGGAAGGTAAATATTTTGGTATTTGTGTTTTAAAATATCAGGAAAAGGACTTTTTGTTTACGGTTTTCTCTTTTACTTAGACTAGTGGAGATGTAATTTAAGGAGCCATACTGGCACGCGTCATTGCAGTCTAGCAAACAAGGCACTGCTGAATATGCTCAATGCAAAAATGAAATTGAAAAGTCAGGCTTTGGCTAACTGTGCATTCCCTTTGAAGAAAGAACTGTGATTGTTGGCAGAGGAAGTAAGGAACTAGGACAAAACAAGGAAAGGAAGAAGTTGTTTCTTTCTCTCCATCAGTCAGCTCCTTAATTTTTGCTGCCAATATTGTAAGTCAGATTTACACTTTAAACATAAATCTATTTATATACTATTGCAAATTAAATTACAGAAAATCATATTGCTTGTGTGTTGAAATCTTTGACTATTGAGAGAAGGGGAATGAGGCAAATAAACATATGAAGCAAAGGTCATGTTGCTGTCAACAGAAAATAGCCCCAGTCAGAAAGAAAAATAATTCCATTTGCATTTAATATATTTTCAACTCGGTACGTATTTCATTCCTTTGTAATGTCATTTCTTATTACAGAGATATAGGAAGCGATCTAAAATACCTAGGTCTACGACTTGGGTGTTTCAATCTCTAAATAATTAAACATACAAAAAAATATATCCTTGATAATGAAGAATGAAGGAAACCTCTCTGTAGTCCTTCTTCAACAATAGATTTTGGATATAACTTGGACCATAAGATGTCACAATAAAGAATTATCCTGAGAAATGTGTTAATTACCCCAATTACTTAAACATCTCTTAAGACTCTTCATGATAGTAAAGGATTGATGTTATGAGCTGAGTTGTTTAGGATCTTTTCTGCAGCATCTCTTACCATCCCAAAAACTATAAGCAAATTTTCAATTTTATCAGAATAATTTTCTAATGTCCAGCTGAAAGATATGCATACTTTTTTAATAATGAAAGAGAAATTACACAGGGACACCACAAAATGTAGCCAACAAATTTTAACTTGTTTCAAAAATTACTTTGGCAAGTTTCTCATAGGAAATAAGGGAAAAAAATGTTTGCAAGCACTAAAAAAAATTGCATTACTTTTATGTTGTCACATTATAGTTACAGTTCTCACCTCAAAGAAAAACAAGAATTCAGACTTTTGTATAAACAGTCTCTAAAGCAATGGAGGCCTCTGAGATTTCCAAGAATCACTTTCAAACTGAAAGTGGAAAGAATCCACTTCTGCAAAATCTGTCCTTCCTGCAGTAAAACTGCTAAAACAGAACCTTTACAAAAGGGACACAGTGCAGGAACACAGCTAAGAAACCTGTAGCAAATTTAGGTAGAGGTACAAGATAAGAATTCTATTTGACTCCATTTCACTGATGTAATATCTTTCATTTATTGGAAGAACAATACCTTTATGCATTATGTAAAAATTCAACCTTTCTTCTTTTTATTACATACTTATGGTACTGATTCTAAAAAAAATCTTTTCCCTGCCACTAAAGAACACAGGTGGAGTAATGGGCCCATCCCTAGAAATATATTATGAAAAATCTGTGAAAATAAAGAGTGAACATCAGAAAATTAAATAACATTTCAAAGAAAATAAAAATTAGGCAGCCAGACTTTGTCTTTAAAATTTTTTGAGTTTTGTTAGATTATATCCCAAGAAAATCACATGATAAACCAGATTTCTGAGCAAGCTGTAGTTTTAATATTTAGGCTAAAAAATATATGTGACTATAAATGTAGTTCAAAACCTCACTTGAAATAGTATCACCATAAACATTAGGGTGACCCATTCTCATAAGCAAAGTGCAAGTAGGAAAGAAATCACGTCAGTCACTGATATCTTTATTTCAGTTGCAAAATACCCTCAGCTACAACTTCTTTGAAAGGGCACTGAAGGTACTGAGCCCTGCTCAGAAATTAGTCCTTATCCAGGACTAAAAAAGAGTGCTGCAAACATCCAAAGAGGCTTTTCTGCAGTTTGACCCAATTTCCTAATGACAGTCAGCTTTGTTCTAAAACTCTGGAAATGACTGTGATCATCAACAAATAAGACAGTGGGATTTTACTTGGTGTGAGTTTCTGTGGGGTAAAAAGCCTTGCAGGATCTTCCAATGGAAGATTAAAGTCAGTGGATATTGATTGCAGAATTTTTCCTCAGTATGATAACTGAATTTACTTGGTTGGAGAAGCTGTGAGGCTGCTTCAGTAAGTGGTGCTAAGCATGATCCTGAAGCAAGAACAAGCACTTGTACTTCTATAGTGTTTCTTTCTTGATCCAAACAGAGGACAGTAATCTCACAAAGCAGAAAAGGAGTAAGTCAGTATTTGATTTAGGGTCTCTCTGGAAAAAGGTCATCTTACTGTGGGATCTGACATTTAACCAAGGAGTATTTAATTTTTGGTGGGAAAGAAACAGCCTCCAACTTCCCCAATACATAAAGAACCTAGCTGAAAAATCCAGTTCCTTGAAGTATTCAAGGGTGTCAAATCTATAATGAAAATATTAAATGTTTTCTCTGATCCTTTTTGGGCAAGTATCTCCTGTAAACACAGTGTCTGGCATGCCTTTAAAACTGTATATCTCAATAGCCAAAGAAAATAGGAAGGCAGCAACATCCGAGAAACTTCCTACTCCTTTTCACATGGTGGGACTTAGAATCCCACAGGATCAGGGAGTCTCTGAGAAAAGCACTGTGTGGTGGAGAAAACATGTTTATGTTTTTGACATTTTCTTAAAAAAAAAGTTACAATTTTTTATTATTACTTGGGGCCATTAAATTCATTTTGAAATGAATGAAATAATTCATTTATAGACAACAGTGTTTCCTAGCTGATGTGTATCCACCAGGAAAGTGTCCTGCCTTTGTATGTTTTCTTCAATTGGCACTATCAAATGGAAAACTTTTGCCTTGATACAGTCTGAGGACTGAGTATCTGATAGGAAAAGATTTTGGAGCCAACATCCAAGTCTTAACGGCTCTACCAGAGTTGATATTTGAATAAATACGTAAAACATAAATCCCTGTTCGGAAGAAAAAGCCTTAATCAGGAATCAGAACTTGTAATGGTTGTTGTATGTCTTTTTCTTTCCATCCCAAACCCAGATTTGCATTTTACCCTAAATCTGACCAGTGTCTGGAAGTGTCTGAATGTTCTTGTCTCTTGTTCCTGAAAACATATTTGTTCAAGGGTGATTTAAACCCTTCCTTTTTGGTTACATGAAGTTTCATGAGAAACCTTCTGCTGCTATACACAGACCTGTTAGGGAAAGTGAAATTGAACAAATGCTCTTGATGTGTAAGTCATTGAGAGCATATTTCTTTTTTTAAGCTTTTAATAGGAAAACCTAAGACATGATTCATAGGACATTACATTTTAGTTTTTCCAAGTATTTGTCATTTACTGAATATGTATTTAGGTCCTGTCAGGGTCAGAGTCCTGGTGAACTTTCAGTGAAACTCTTGATGGCAGCTGAGAACAAAGCCATGGGTGGGCTGGTAAATCCCTGTCTGGGGCACTGACTGTGAGCAAGAAAAAGGGAATTACAAGAAGCATATGGAATCACTGTAGTGTATCTAGCAGGGCCTGTGCTTCCACACACTGTTCTTACTCTAGAAGCAGTACAGCAGCATATTAGGGACATTTGCTGAAATGAATATCCACACCTGCATCAAGAGGGTCCTGAAATACTTTGAAAAATAACTATTAGTCTATCTTTGCTTTATTTCTGTAAGCTGTGGACAAGCTCAGTGCTGTGATGTTGCCTCTGGATTCTCTTACCCCTGACAATAACCGAAGCATTAAACCCCACTGCTGTGTGTTCTGCAGGGGGCAGTCTGAGCAAAGCTTTTATTTTCTTTTCTAGTACAGAAAGCTGGGAAAGGCTGTTTTGCCAAACCAACATGTAGAACATTAATGATCAATGTCCAAAATGTTTTCAGTGCTGGTTAGCTAAAATTATTTTAAAATTTGTCTAGCAGAGTATTCAGAATGAGTCATGTAGAAATGAGTATTTATGTTCCCTCTGACCTCAAACATTCGTGGCCTTGTACA